TTGTATTGCGACAACACATCAGCTATAGCTCTAGCAAATAATCCGGTGTTCCACGCTCGTACAAAACACATTGAGATTGATCAAAATTTTGTACGGGATCATATTCAGCACAATAATATTCGTCTTCTACCCATCAGCACGATTGATCAGGTTGCTGACATATTAACTAAATCGCTATCCACTCCAAGATTTCAACAATTAAGGCTCAACAAATTGACAGTCGGCCCGGATCCCTCAATTTGCGGGGGAATATTAGAACATAAAAGTGTGTAGCCTTTTAAATAGCTTGACAGGTGTCTGGTTTCTATTTGCTTAGCTTACTTTATGTAACATCCTATGTCTATATATTGGCACCTATCCTGTACCGTAAACAGATATGAAATACATCTCTTATTTCTTGGTTTCTTCGTTTGATCTCTGTCTTTCTTGTTCCTTGGTATTTCTCTGTTTACTGTCCGTTCATCAGATAGTTACTCCAATTACATTCGGCATGATCCGTTGATGCCTCCAGTAGTTTAAAAAGTCTCAATCACCCCTCTTTTTAAAAATGTTTAAAGAACTCAAACTTAGGGTAATCGGTAAACATCAATGATCAGAAGTATGTTAAGTTTTTGCATTTAATATTCGAATCTTTCTAAAATTCAATTTTTAAATATGTCAAGATTCAAAAATTAATTCTTTTATATTATTATTATTTTGAAATTTATAAATATGTTTAGGATTTGGAATTTTTGCGTGCTAGAAAATTTATTACCATAGAAATATAATTTTTGGGTATTAGCTTTTCATAAATATCTAACACATACAAAAAGTAGAAATCGACATCAGAATTTTTATTTAAAAATTTCAGAGGTTTAACCCAGATAAAATGATTACAAAAGCACATAAAATAAGGCTTCGTTTGGGACGACTTTCTCACTGCTATCTAAAATAACTTTTTAGTACAAAAATATTATGAACTAAATATTTTTTATTAAAAAGCAGCTTCAAAAAATATTAAAAAAGTCGTATCAAACAAAACTTAAGTTTGTAATTCTATAAATGTAAGAGAATGTAGAAGATATAGCAATTGGATGTTATCAGTCAAGTTACATTATTAAATAACAATGGTAGAGTTATAATAATAGGACGATGACATGAATCGGACTTGGCATCCGCAACGTCGTTGGGATCAACTTTGCCGTTGGCTTGACATAGGCAGAATGCCATTTGAAAATTAGCCTTGTCCCTGGCCTCCATAGTAAGCAGGAAAACCTATACCCCTTGATTCAAGCCACCTATGCCCATGCTTGCATTCATATTTGGATATCCTGTTAGTACTGTTGAGGGTATCGGTGGCAAAAAGTGCTCCTTGTCATTGTAAATAGATTTTACCTTGGTTTGTTGCAGATGAGGAGGTGGCAATGCGTTTGAAACCTCCAAAAGATGGTCCATGGTTGCTATTTGTTCCTGTTGCATAGGTTCATCCATGCTTAAATTTGGAGTTATCTCTACAAAGCAGCCTATGGAATCTCCTGCCTTCGTTTGTTGTTCTTCTGTTGCAGTATCTAAGGAAGGATGATAAGTCTTACTGGGTAAGAAGCCAAACTCTCCGGAATGCGACACCAATACTCTTGCCCTCACACGCCATCCCAAAACGGTATCGCCGAAAGGAAAAATCGTCACATCTTGGAAACTATTCGGAGTCTTCTAATTCACTCCAAGGCTCCGCAAACCTTGTGAACTCATGCTCTTCACACCGCCATCCACATCATCAACAGACTCCCCACTCGCACTCTAGAAAACAAAACTCCCTACGAATCACTCTTCCGCATATCACCCTCGTACGACCACCTCAAAATCTTCGGCTGCTTATGTTACCCGTGGCTACGGCCCTATGCCAAATCGAAAGTTGAATCATTCTCCAAGCCATGCGTATTCATCGGATATCCTCCTAACCAAAAGGGCTACCTATGTCTCGATCCCGACACAAATCACATCTATACCTCCCGCCACGTTGTTTTCAACGAACAAATCTTTCCCTACCATCAAAATTCGTCCACCATTCCAAACTCTAACGTCTCATCCAACATCCCGCCACTGCTCTTAGTCCCATCCTCACTTTTATCTCCTCAAGTCCAGCACCTGAATACCACCCACACTACACCTCAAATTAGCCAATCTCAGCCTACTCACACTTCTGTTTCTCGGACTACATCACCTCGACTCCCGGACTCTCAACAACCCAGTAACTCCAGCACAGACCAACCAGGCACTTCTCCTCCCTCTCGGACCCTCACTGTCACTTCTCATCCGATGATAACCCGCTCTAAAACCGGACACCTTAAACCCAAACAGATCCTTAATCTCACCCATCAACTATACCCACAAGATCCCACTTCCTACACTCAAGCCGCCCAACACGAACACTGGCGCTCCGCCATGTCCCAAGAATTCCAAGCGCTTCAATCTCAGGGCACATGGGAGCTCGTCCCGTCCGCTCCGCATCAAAATGTTTTAGGCTGCAAGTGGACCTTTCGAACAAAGTACAACTCAGACGGTTCAATCGCTCGCTACAAGGCCAGACTCGTCGCTCTCGGCTACAAGCAAGAATTCGGTCTCGACTATACCGAAACCTTTAGCCCCGTCGCCAAAATTCCCACCTTCCGCATACTTATTCTTCTCGCTCTTCATAATCGCTGGCCCATGCACCAACTTGATATTTCCAACGCATTCCTGCATGGCTCTCTACACGAAACCGTCTACATGAAACAACCCATTGGCTTCACCGACGCTACTCATCCAAACCACGTCTGCAAGCTTAACAAAGCTTTGTACGGTCTTAAGCAATCCCCGCGCCAATGGTTCGCCACATTAACCGGATTCCTTCACACCCAAGGCTTCCGCACTAGCCACTCCGACCCCTCCCTAATGATCTTTCAGCAAACTAACATTCAAATTTATTTTCTAATTTACATTGATGATCTTATAGTTACAGGTAATAACAAGGCAGCTGTCCAAACCCTCCTCAGCAACCTTCACAACCGCTTCAACACACGCTACCTTGGCCAGTTATCTCAATTTCTCGGCATCACTGCAATTCCTCAACCAGACGGATTACTTCTTCACCAAAGTCGGTATGCAACCAGCATCCTTCAACGCGCTGGAATGACTAACTGCAAGCCTACAGCAACACCTATAACAGCTAAGTCTCACATCTCTCCTCAAATTTCAAAACCTTTCTTTGATCCTTTATTATACCGACAGCTAGTAGGCTCCCTCCAGTACCTCACACTTACTCGACCCGACATAACCTATGCCGTCAACAAAGCTTGCCAATTCATGCATCAACCAACCGACATTAACTTCGACGCCGTTAAACGCATTCTCCGCTACATCAAAGGCACATTAAACTACGGTTTACCTCTCTCCGGCAACTCTTTTACTTTAACTTCTTTTGTAGATTTGGACTGGGCCGGCGACCAACATGATCGGAAATCAACTACGGGATACTGCACCTTCCTCGGTCGCTCCCCTGTGAATTGGTGTGTCAAGAAACAAAGTACCATTGCCCGCTCGTCCACCGAAGCAGAATATCGCGCTTTGGCCGCCGCCGCAGCCGATCTCACTTGGACTCGCCAACTTCTTCAAGAACTGGGCCGTCCCCAAATCCATCCCACTCAGCTATTCTGTGACAATACATCCGCAATCGCTCTTGCTAATAACCCGGTCTTCCATGCCCGAACCAAACACATTGAAGTAGATTGCCACTACATCCGGGAATGTATCAAGAACAAGTCCATTCAAGTCCATCACATCTCCACCAAGGATCAACTCGCGGATATCTTTACAAAAGCACTATCTATTATTCGATTCCGGCATCTTGCTCACAAACTGATCTCGCCTCACACCTCATCAGTTTGCAAGGGGGTGTTAAACCAGCCATCTAGACCGGCATCTAAACCGGATTAGCTTTATTAAACTGTACCACAGGATTAGTATGTATTTCGTTGTCATTATATATACATGTATCTGTATCTCTTCTCAACGTGAATAATAAAGAATAATTTTGCTTTTCTTTACTGCTCTCCCTGCGTTTCGTCTGAAACAAGAAAGCCAACATCCTGTACCGTAAACAGATATGAAATACATCTCTTATTTCTTGGTTTCTTCGTTTGATCTCTGTCTTTCTTGTTCCTTGGTATTTCTCTGTTTACTGTCCGTTCATCAGATAGTTACTCCAATTACATTCGGCATGATCCGTTGATGCCTCCAGTAGTTTAAAAAGTCTCAATCACCCCTCTTTTTAAAAATGTTTAAAGAACTCAAACTTAGGGTAATCGGTAAACATCAATGATCAGAAGTATGTTAAGTTTTTGCATTTAATATTCGAATCTTTCTAAAATTCAATTTTTAAATATGTCAAGATTCAAAAATTAATTCTTTTATTTTATTATTATTTTGAAATTTATAAATATGTTTAGGATTTGGAATTTTTGCGTGCTAGAAAATTTATTACGATAGAAATATAATTTTCGGGTATTAGCTTTTCATAAATATCCAACACAGATACAAAAAGTAGAAATCGACATCAGAATTTTTATTTAAAAATTTCAGAGGTTTAACCCAGATAAAATGATTACAAAAGCACATAAAATAAAGCTTCGTTTGAGACGACTTTCTCACTGCTATCTAAAATAACTTTTTAGAACAAAAATAGTATGAACTAAATATTTTTTACTAAAAAGCAGCTTCAAAAAATATTAAAAAAGTCGTATCAAACAAAACTTAAGTTTGTAATTCTATAAATGTAAGAGAATGTAGAAGATATAGCAATTGGATGTTATCAGTCAAGTTACATTATTAAATAACAATGGTAGAGTTATAATAATAGGACGATGACATGAATCGGACTTGGCATCCGCAACGTCGTTGGGATCAACTTTGCCGTTGGCTTGACATAGGCAGAATGCCATTTGAAAATTAGCCTTGTCCCTGGCCTCCATAGTAAGCAGGAAAACCTATACCCCTTGATTCAAGCCACCTATGCCCATGCTTGCATTCATATTTGGATATCCTGTTAGTACTGTTGAGGGTATCGGTGGCAAAAAGTGCTCCTTGTCATTGTAAATAGATTTTACCTTGGTTTGTTGCAGATGAGGAGGTGGCAATGCGTTTGAAACCTCCAAAAGATGGTCCATGGTTGCTATTTGTTCCTGTTTCATAGGTTCATCCATGCATAAATTTGGAGTTATCTCTACAAAGCAGCCTATGGAATCTCCTGCCTTCGTTTGCTGTTCTTCTGTTGCAGTATCTAAGGAAGGATGATAAGTCTTACTGGGTAAGAAGCTGCCAGAGCGTAATTGCTGCGGTGGATATGGACGGGCAGGATGAGGTGTGAGGAGATCAAATCCTTGAGAAGGACCAGATACATTCAGAATCACATGCTCACACTCCTGAAGCTTGTGTTGTGCACCTTCAAAGTCGTGGTTTATATATAAGCATTCTAGGAATTCTGTAATGGGATCTTTAAACACATGGTTTTCCTGTTGAATAACTTTGATCAGCTCTTTAATCATATTCCATCTTCTTTTGCTAACAATGACAGCAGTTGCAACATAACGTAGGAGATGGTTTGCATTTGTCTGAATAGCATTTAAGTACCTATCCTGGAAGAAGAGATCGATAATTCCATTTCTTCCATTTTCGTGGTTGAAAAAGATAAAAAGACTCCAATGCATCAACCATATTCTATTTTGTAGCTGATAAAGAGGAGACGCAAAATTCTTTGAGTCAATTATTTGTTTCAAGCGATTAAGTTCTTCAAGAGCAATGGCCCAGTTCTGCATCAAAATTTCTGCCGCAAGCTTGCCCCATAGAGCACTCAAACTTCTGTCACTATTAGTGCACAAATCTCGATAGTGATACAAGTAGTCTGCAGCGCCTGAGTAGTTTCCACAATCAAATTGGAACTTGGCATACTGATATAAAGCTTCAATTTGCTCCTGACCAATCTGAAAGCGGTCATTGAGCATCTGGAGATTGTACAGTTTCTCCAGTCTCAACTCCTGGGCGTTCGCAGGGTTCTGAAGGAAAGAAATCAGCGGCGCCGCAGACTCCTCTAAGGATTTCAATCTCCCGACTACTTCTGTCCTCCTTTCCATCATCTCTTGCGGAATTTCCTCGGTGTGGTAAAGGATCTTGTGAATGTCCATCGCGTAATCAACCATGTTGGTCTGGCTAAGAAGGTCAATCTTGGCTTTGAGGATCTCTTCATTGGCGTAAAGTTGCCGCTCTCGGTGGAACTCAAGGAGCGGGAAGACGAGATGGCGGTCGAGGTGAGGGGCAATGCGAGAGGTTAAGTCATGCTCCGCCATGGCTAGCGTTTCTAGGGTTCAAAGCGGCTGGAGCTGATAGAGGACCTCACCAGCGACGCTCGCGGCAAGTAGTGGACATGAATGGCTGCGGAGAGATGTATGGTGAGGACGGATTAGGTTTGAATATACAGGCAGGCTGTAGAGATGGTAAGGTGGGTAGAGGCTTTCTTTGGAGTAACAACCCATGTGCAAAACAGGTTGTAAATGACGAGCTGCATAACAGACGATTTACAGCCACATATTCAAACTCAGCTCACAGCCACATGTTACACGTCAGCCATATCGCGTAGCATCTATAAATAGAACTGTAGCTATTCAAATTATAAATGAAATGAATTGAAATAAATTCCACATAGAATTGCCGCGTACCTTTGCTGTATTCATTCTGTTGAAAGTCTTTCTTGATTTTCCCAAAAAAAAAAGTCTTTCTTGAAGGTGATGGAAGTGGCAAAGAGATGTCCAGGGGTCTTAGGGGCTGGATAGTTGTGTTAGGAAGGCTGAGGCGTGAATTGCTGTGAAGTGCTGCGCAGGAGATCAAAATCTAGTGAATTAAGGAGAGGGGGATTGTAGACGAGAAGGCTACATTGAAGGCTTAGTGTAGGTGATGGAAGTGGAGGAGTATCCTGTGGGTATTTATAAAAAGGTTATCAATACGGATAAAGTTGCGACGTGGAGAGCGATCCACAAATGGGGGGAGTACTTGACGGGGTGTACCTCACATATCCTTTACTGGTTCTTTTTTTTTTCTTATCTTTTAATTCTAAGATACTAATTAAAAAATGTTCATTTTATTTTTTTTTAAATTATAAAATTAGACGTTTATTGAATAAAAAAATCATCTGACACTAAATTTATTTGAGTTTCCAATGAGCACAAATTTAATTGATATTTGAGTTTCCAATGAGCACAAATTTAATTGATTAAACTGACCTGCTACATCTATTGAATCAACTGATGGAAAATATAATTTAGTTTAGACACATATTGCTAAGATTGTGATCATTGCAAAAAACATATTATTAAATGATTATTGTAATCACGACGAAGAAAGTGATCACTACATGGCATTCATGATCGAACAACAGTAGTGACTATGGCATGCCCTTGGCGGTCTGTAAAGACCACAATTGTGACAAAATCAGCAAAGGCAGCTGGTGGAGGGGTCAAATCCCAGCCAGGTCGAATACAAGGAATTGTAATTCCCCATGCACCCTCAGTCTCGCATACATGGAGTCGTTGGATGCCTTCGTTGATGGTAAGCCCTGCTTCCAACATATGCATGTAGAACACCGTTTGGTAACTCAAATTGCGGTTTGAACCTTCTGACAGTGCTTTGAACCCTTGATTCGGGCTCATTTGGGCTCGGATATGGTCGATCTTGGTGTCGTTGGGTTTGTATTTCCGAGACGCTCAGTTTGACTGTAAGCCCGCTGAAATCGGAGTTCGGATGCTCCCGAAATTAAATTTTGAAGTTTCCAACTAGCTTTTTGTCTCGAGATTCGCGTCCGATCAAGATAATTTTTACATGGCGTATCAGATGCCCCCCTATTTTCGGACGTCGAAGTTCCAAGAGTCCGAAAATATATGATTCAAAAATTTGTATCGGCAAACACCAAAAATTGTGTTCTGAATATTATGTTTTTCTAGGGCTGCAAGCGAATCAAACGTTCGACGAGCTACTCGTTGTTCTATTCGATTAAAGCTCGTTTGTGATCGTTTTATTAACTAAACAAACAAACTTTAACAATATTTTAAATACTCGATTCTCAAATAAACAAACTTGAACACTAATGCGTTCAACTCATTTTTATTTCGCGAACAACATCATTTGAAGTTCGTGAACAAGCTCGACATTAAGCTCGATAAGAAGCTCGATTCTTGTTCGATTTTGAACTCGTGAATAAGCTTGATAAAAATAATTAATATTTGATTATAGAATTAATAATTATAAATAATCATTGCCTTTGTTACATAGACAAATACTTTTATTATAAATGTATTTGTTCATAGATATTTTCATGAACTTGTTTGTTTCATAGTTAAAAAAAATCGTTAAATATGTTCGTGAATAAGCTCGATAAGCACTAAACGAACGAACATGAACTGAGCATGAACCGAACATGAGCACTCATTAATTTAAATGAACCCAAAAAAAATTAATTTAAATGAACCAAACATGAACACAAACAATAAAGCTCGAACAAACATGAACCAAACTTAAACAAGCTGATATTAAATGAACACAAACATGAACACTCACATACTTGGCCCGGCTCGGTTCATTTGCAGCCCTAGACATGGGTAATGACTAGTCTTCAAAAATAGGACAAAATTTTAAAATGATGTACTAATTATTTTTGTGTAAACAAAACACCCCAAAAAATTTAAGAAATAATGTCAAACGTTTGGTAACCCATTGACTGGCATTAACACGGCAAATCCAGCTGGTGGAGGGGTCAAATCCCAGCCAGGTCAAGAGCTGGGTCGGTAGTTGGCGAAATGTGTCGTGGCAGTTGAAGAAGCACAGAGAAACGGAGAACAAAAAGACAGGTATAATACCAAGAAGAAGGAAAATGTACCTTATTCATCTTAGCTATTAGGGATAATGTGTGGGATGTGAAGAAGTTGAAAGTTTTTTTGCCTGTTTACTTAGTGAACTTAATCATTGATATCCCCCTAAACATTAATTGTAATGACAGAATTCTTTTTTCGGCTTCTTCGAATGGTAAATTTTAATTGCGTGATATATGGGAGAACTTTAGGAATGCTGGGGAGAAATCTCAAATTTTTATGCTATTTGGCATAGTTCTTTTCCTATAACTTATTCAACTTTTGTTTGGCGTTGCATTAAAGGTTTCATTCCGATTGATAATTTGTTGCAAAAGAAAGGTATTGTTCTTGCTTCTAAATGTTTATGTTGCTCCTTTAGTGAAGATATTGATCATTTGTTTTGTAACGGCATGGTGGCTAAGCACGTGTGGTTGTATTTTAATAGCTTAACGGGTAAGAATTTTTCTACTAATGATAATTTAATTTCGATGTTGACAAGTTGGTTTATGCCTGTGAAAGGTCATTTTTTCAACTTGTTACCTATTCTCATATTATGGTACATTTGGGAAGCTAGGAATAAGGCTAAGCATGAAAATATTAAGATGGAGGCTTCTAGTATTATTAATAATGTGAGAAGAAAGGTTTTACAGCTCTATAATTATAAAGTTATTTTTTGTAAGACTTTTACTAGGTGTAAAGATCTTGCGGTGAAGTTTGGCATCAATCTGGTTACGTTATCCTCTTATAATGCTGAGTCAGTTGTTTACTGGATCAAACCCAAACCCCCTTATGTGAAATTAAATACGGATGGGTCGGTTGGCAATAATAAGGCGGTTGCGAGGGGTATCATCAGGGATTATCTTGGTGATACTCTGGCTGCTTTTACTTCTCCGTTGAAAGTGGGGGATGTTATCTTGGATGAATTAAATGCTCTCCTTTTGGGTCTATAAATGTGTTTAAAATTGGGGTTGAATTGGTTATGGATCGAAGTGGATTCCTTAAATATGGTTCAAATTTTGAATGATGATTTCTCAGGTAATGCTCAGTATTTTTATATTATTAGGAAAGTTAAAAATTTACTGCCTTTGATGAACATCTATATAACTCATATTTTCCGGGAAGGTAATGTCTGTGCTGATTGGTTAGCCAATAAGGGTTCGTCCCTTGGTGGTTATGAGGAGTTGGATATTCATAATTTGGATCAATCCTTGAATGGTATGCTGTTACTGGATAAGGTGGCTATGCCACGCTTTAGGCATGGGTGAGTGTTTTGGTCTCTGGGTTGTGGTGGTGTTAAACTGGGGTTTTTTTTTTCTTTGGCGACTCGCTGGGTGTTTCTGGGAGCTTTGTGCTATCATCTGGGGGGTGTGGTGGCATATGTTTTTGTGGTGGTGGAATTGTTGTGGTTGGATATCTGTCTGGAGCCTGTGTGGGTGTTGATCGTTTTTAACTGGGGGGTTTTTCTCGTTTGCATGGGTTGTGTTCTAGGTTTCATGAGTGCTGCTGGCTGTAATACTGGTGCCGGTGGTTACGGTGATGTTTGGCTGGGTTTGGAGGGCCTTTTTGTTGGTAAGGGCAGGGCTGTTTACAGAGACTTTTGGCAAGTTTTTTGGCTTAACATGCTGGGTGTTGTGTGGTGCGGGGTTTTTCTTAATTTGTGGTGGCTTGGTATGGTGTTACGTGCTATTCTTGGACTTATGTTTTTCTTGAGGTTTCTTTGCAGCTATTATTACAAGCGGAGCAGATTTTTGAGAAAGGTATGTTATTTTATTTTATGATTTTTCATTTTGCTATATAGTGGATTTTTTTGCAGGAGAGCGGAGCTGAAAGCTATCAACATTAAATGGTCTCTCCTTTTTTGGGTGATGTTGCTTCATAGCCCGTTTTTATTAGGTTATTTTTGTAATCTTAGTTTAAGGATCCGCCGGCTCGTAGGACTTTTATTCTCTTTTTGGATTGTAGCTCTTCTGAGCACTAGAGAGCTGGTGGAGCCTTTTAAGGACTCTGTAACCGAGTTTTTGAATGAACGTGTAGGCCCCATGAGTGGGTTTTAACTTAAAAAAATAGTAATAATAGCTATTATATAGACTCAGCTATGTACGGCTTAGACAAAGAAACCAACCGTGAGCCAATACATCAAATACAAGTAAGATATAATAAGTAAAACTTATGGTTCTAATACGCCTCGGCAAATTGATGGGTCTTGAGTGACCGTCAGTTTGAGACGAAGTTATTGAAACCGTGGTGTGGACAATGATTTGGTGAAGATGTCAGCAAAATGATGGGTCTTGAGTGACCGTCAGTTTGAGACGAAGTTGTTGAAACCGTGGTGTGAACAATGATTTGGTGAAGATATCGGCAACTTGATCAGTGGTGCTTATGGGAAGAAGATTGATATTATGCTTCTGAATTTGATCCCTTATAAATTCCCAATCGATTTTTTATGTGTTTCGTACGAGCGTGAAAAACTGGATTGTTAGTCAATGCAATGGTTGACATGTTGTCACAGTATAGTTTAGTAGGATAGTCTTGATTAATGCCGAAGTCATTAAGAAGTTTGTGGAGCCTTATTATGTATGAGGTAAGAGCGGCTAGATCACGGTATTCTGATTCGGTGGATGATCTGGCGGTGGTATGTCGTTTCTTGATTATCCAAGAAATGATTGTTTCACCTAAGAACAAGCAGTAGCCTGAAGTAGATCTTCTTAAGGTTGGATCTCCAGCCCAATTCGCATTTGAAAAAGAATTGAGAAGTAAATTACTTTTGGTAATAGGTTTGCCAAAGTGTAACGTGCCTTTGA